CATAAAAGATGTTCCCGTATTGTCTCTAGTGTGTGTATTCTCCCATTAACGCAGTTAACGCATGGACAATACAATTTTCCATTAACCTTGGTGCCATTGTGTTCGGCAAATCGCAAAAATTCTTCAACTCCATTCTCATACTCTTGTGAAATACGACTTGTATTTACCCAACTTCGATCCATTTTGGAATTAGAGTCTACAAATGAGAAACCCATAAAACGATTATTACTAATAATCGTTATCTCTAATGAAATCTATACCAAAGTAGATTAATTTGTAACGAAATTTCAACAGAATTTCGTCTATTTTTTGGTCAAAACCAAATTTGTATAAATTGAAATTATAGAGTTTTCATTGTTACTACCATCACTTATATAACTACATTGTTATATGTAGTTTTCGAATTCACACTTCATGATTAATTTCTAACAAAAATCCTAGCAGAGTTTCCTTTGTTTTTTGGCAACAATTTTAAATGACACAGTGAAACCTGACAATAAAAAGCCCCACTGGCATATTCAAGCGATTCAAGTATAATTGTACACATCATCAATACATTAAAAAAAACTATAATATGACTAAGAATTGAATCAACAGTTAACGGCAAATGACTAACAATCTCTACCTATGAAATGTAGTAAGTAAAATTGTATGACTTTGCCCAACAAATATAAGTGCAACATCATCGTACCTGTGGTTTAAGGCAGCGATGAAGGTTCGCACCACAGAGAAACAGAGCAGCGCTGCACTGGGGTGGAGGTGGAGGATGCAATGCGGCGTTAGGGTCGAGACTGTGGTAAGCGGACAATGCAATGTGGTTGGAGGCTGCAATGCAATGCAATGGGGTGGTGGCGTTAGGATGCAATGCAATGTGGGTGGAGGCTGCTAGCGTCGCGGTGGGCGACTAGCGTCGCGGTGGAGGGTGGCGACTAGCGTCGCGGTGGGGTGGAAGCTGCAGTGGGGTGGAGGTGCTGCGGCGGGGTGTCACGCGGTGCGCGGTGGCGACGTGAGGGAGGGCGTCCGGAGAGTCCAAATCACGGTGGTAGGTGGTGGTCGCGATGCTGGAGAGTAAGGGGAGTGGGCGCGATGTTGGAGAGTAAGGGGAGATACAAAAATGGTAGCCTATTAATGGGAAAACGGGGTTTCGACGTCGGTTATACCCACACCCGACGTTGAAACTCGTTTTATCTCCAGTCATATATTTCAATCGATTGAAACGAGATTTAATCGATTAAAATAGTTCTGATCGGTCATAACTGGATTCTGATCGATCATCCTGACCCTGTAAGAGATTTTAATCGATTGAAACGTGTTTTTAATCGATTGAAAAACTTATGATCTGATCGCTCATAATTAAAATCTGATCGATCACATTTGATTCTGATCGGTCATATTTGTAATCTGATCGGTCATAATGAGTTCAGAAGGGTTTTCAACGTCGGGTTAGGGCATAACCGACGTTGAAAGCCTACTTAACGTAGAATCCTGACACTTTAAGAGATTTTAATCGATTGAAACATGTTTTTAATCGATTGAAAAACTTCTGATCGCTCATAATTAAAATCTGATCGATCACATTATTTCTGATCGGTCATATTTGTATTCTGATCGGTCATAATGAGTTCAGAAGGGTTTTCAACGTCAGGTTAGGGTATAACCGACGTTGAAAGCCTACTTTCCACGTCATGCATGCTAAAACGACGTAGAATGTGTCAAAATTCGACTTTTGACGTCGGTTTTTGACTAACCGACGTTGAAAGCATGTTCAACGTTGGCTAAGATGTAACCGACGTTAAACGGCGACGTTGAAAGTATATTTTCTAGTAGTGTCTATTGATCTTACTGTTGTGTGTATGGGAACATGACTAATTTACCTTCAGCGTAGTTTTTGTTTTATTTATTTTTTGTTTGAATGTTGTTTTTAATTCTGACTTTAGTTGGAAGCAACCACAACCAAAAGGAAGTTTGGGTGAATCAAATGAAAGCCTAGCATAAGAGCCGTATTGGCAGCTACCTAGTTATAAAAACGAAGTGGTTACAGATATAGCTTGTAATAAACACGCAAGTCCAATTCGAATAGTGTTGCAGTTGAAACACAAACAAATCCCAATACTTTGGTGCCTTGGTGGTAGGCAACCTAATTGTTTATTAACTACGCAGGTCAATCAACAATACTTTGACCTAAAACTTCAGATTCTTTTGTACCATTATGAGGATTTGATGCTACCAAAGAAGCAATACTTATTTTTCTCTGCACTAAAGGATTAGTTCCAACCTTAAAAAAAATAATGGTGCTCACCGGCAAAATATTAAAAAACAGGAAAAAAAAATGGTGGGGAAATTGATTGATAATGTTGAGTACTCTGAATTATGACCCAGAAGCCAAAAAGTTGTGGCTATTTTATTTCATGGAAGGACTCCTATGCTATACCTTGAGGTCCACCTTCCATGTCATAATAATTGACCTACACCAAACGAAATACCGATTGTGATACTAGGAATTCTTTGCCTAACTTTTCCTCTTCTCTAAAAAGAGATGGTGGAATTAGTTTTAACATATAAATTAAATAGTTATTATTTTAAGAATATTTTATAATAATAATTATTTAAAGATTAGTTTAAATTATAATTTTTTAATTACAATAATAGTTCAAATTATTATTTGTATTATATATATATATATATCTAATTAATAAAAAAATAAATTATTGATAATAAATTAGTGTTATTTTGAGAGTATTTTGTATAGATTGGTAATCTATTTTTTTCCTGTTTGCAACTTGGTCAACTTGAACTCTCTTTAGGGATTAGTATTACTATTTATTGATTTTGAATTTTTGGTGTCAAATAGCCTAATGAACTGAGTTGTGTGAACTGAGTGAGGGTTTGACCAATTGCCATCATCCCATATAGCAAGGAAAACTCTAAACAAGTCTTGTAGAATATATTGTAGATACATTGGTCAAACTATCATGTTTGCCCAGAAGTTTTAACCTATATTTTTTAGTGAAAAATTTTCAATGTCTAATTCTTCACATTATTCTTCATTGTGTCAATTGTGTCCTATGTTGTAACTCTATAAACAAAATGTTTTAAAATGTCACATGCATCGCTTTTATCCCTTCAAAGTTTGATTTCTTAAAGGAAATTGAAAAGCGGTGAGACTTTTTTTTTTTGTCAGTAGCTGGTTTTAGTTGAGTGGGTCATATTTTATCATATTTGATTATATTATCATCACACCAAAACAAAGGAACAATAACCCTACTTCACGTTACCCCATTCAGATGCGTGATAAATATATAAATATTTTAGTAGTTTTATTACGTAATATTCGAGTTACATTTCGCACTACTTTGATCCATTTACCATCTTTGTGTTATAATTCTCATGTTACACAATAAATTAAATTTTGAATATTATCTAATGCACGATAAACTATAGCCAACTAACTCATGCGCGTTCAATAACCATTATTTCTAATATATAATATTTAATTTGTACTAATAATTTTTAAAAAATTATCTAACTAATATTTAGCAAATGAAATAATTAGTGTGAAATTATTTTATAAGTAATATTTTTAAACACAGGTCTGGAATTTTAAATTATTTAAGACTTATTTTCAAAATTTTAAGTTATTGTGTTATACAGACATCATTCGCATACAAATTGCTACCTAAGTTGTGACCTTTGTTATTCATTTTCTCTGTTATCTTCTTTCTTTTAGGTGGCATGTAGTTTTCTGATTTAGTATAATTTTCTAGGCAATTTTTCTTGGACGAAGGAGTCACACCTTTTACTTTGCAATTTTTCTTTTGATTTAGGAAACACACCTTTTATATAATAGCAGTTCCATTAGAGAGAAAAAAAAATGGAACTTTTGGTGTCAGATTAATTTATAGTAAGCATGCAAGTTGGGGATTTTGTACTTTGATTTTTTTATTGTATATGAACTCTGCATACCCTTTTATGGGACAAATAAGAAGAGTATAATAAACACTAACATTTGCAAAATTGCAATTATCCAAGTGGTAGGTTGGTATCCATCATCCATGTATTAATTAAAGAACCTAAAATTGGCATTCTGAAATGTGAAAGCAATTTATAAATTTATATGAATATTAAATCTTTAATTCGTCTTTTCGTTGTTTCACTTCAGGTAATATATAGTTTTCATCATTCAATGATTTTTAATTCGGCTTTAACATTCCTTAATGTTTAACCAACACAATTAAACCTATTGATTAACTTTTATTCACCGTAACCTTTTAAGTACTCACGTTTACCCAAAATTCCCACTAGCTCGATCAATCAAAGTATGTTTAATTCAAGTAAGATCATGTCTTTTAACTTTTATCTAAAAAATTGTAAAAAGTTATTGTTTTTATTTTTTGAAAATGAAAAAATTATTGCGAAGATTAAATCTTAAAACTTTAAATTAATTAATATTTTTAAAAAATGAAATTATAATATATTAAATAAATTTAATTTGAGCAAAATAGCAACTTTATCCTTTAAATTAAACCCTGACGATAGTAATTAATGATATGAAATCCACATTCTTATAAGTCAGATATAGCACGAGCACTTTCCTTTTTTTTTTTACTTAGTAATATTTTATTAGAAAACCACAAAATGGTTAATATTAAAAAATTATTTTATTATAGCAAAGAAAAACAAGTAATTAATAAGATAAGGATTAATTAAAACAATAATCATACATGAAAGAGTTAATTCAGACAACCAAAAAAACCGTCAGTTTAAGAGCATACAGAACAAATGTTTTATGAATGTATTTAACTCAACGTATGTTGATAATTTACTAGTATTATAATAATATTATTATGTTTGAAATAAAACCGTGAACATGAAATAATCAAAGTGAAAAGAAAACCTTTCAATTCATAACAAGATGTAGCAGTGGCACTTTTTCTGGGTTTTATTTAATTTTATTTTTCCTTTTCGATTTATCAGTGTTTTATTTATTGGAAAAGCCGAAAATGGTTAAAAGAGGAAGATGTTCTCCACCCACTCCTCCACCCAATCTATTTGATTTTTTCTTCTTCTTTCGTTCACTGTCAGTGTCTGTTCTCTCTTCGCCCATTTCCAGAGATCAGAAAGAGGAACCTACCAACGCCACTCCAAAGCTCCTCTTTCTCTCTCTCAATCTCTCCACTCGCCAATTTCACTATTCGCTCACTTCTCCTTATTCACTTCCGACATTGTTCCTTCATTCCTTTCAAATCGGAGTCGCTGTTCATCGCTCCTTTCTTCCCGCCATTGAATGTCCAAAATGCATACCAGCCGGATATTCTCGCGCGTTCCGAAGCCGATCGAAAATTCGCCGGCGATTTGATGGAATCGGAGAGGTTTTGTTTTCAGTGGTCGCTTTTTCATGGAGCTGATGGTTTGGTGCACCTCATGCGCGCTGTCCAGATTTCATTGCAAGCGTAGATTTGCAGTGGTTGTTTTCGAGGTAAAACTCTGTTAGTTTGTGAGTTTTTTTATTGTAAAATTTCTTTTAGTTCAATTCTGGTCTGTCGTTTAGGGTGTATGACTCTGTGGATTATCTGTTCAACTGTGATTGTGCTCTAATTGGTTGCTGAAAGTAGGGAGAAAGTGAATATTTGAAGTTGATGTGTTTTCCGTATTTTTCTTATTTTGTCCTTAAACGGAACTGTGGAAGTTAGGGTTTTGTTGTCAGAGCAATGACTCGTCTGGAGGTGCGGGATTAGTCCTTTGTCTAGATTTTTTTTTTTTTTCAAAACTCTAATTTTTCTGACTTGAAATTTAAGTGGAAGCTGTTCAACTAGCCTCTTTTTGCGGCTGGTTTTTTACAGGTTATTCATTGTTTTTTTTTTTTTTTTGGTGATTCTTTTTCTGTGGTTTTACATGATTATTTTTGAAATTCTTCTGATCTGAGGTTTGGCTCTTGTATGTCATGGCCGCACTAAAGATTACATACCTTCTTAGAAAGATGGCATTTGGACTTGAATGTTTAACATATGTGAATACAGGCACTGGTTGATCGAATGGATGTGTACTTAAGTCTAAGATTCTGCTTCGTGCTGCAGATTATATTGATATTGGCGTGGGTAGAGGCCCACAATGCAGGTCTCCACGAACACCAACTTCAGGGAGGCTTGGAGAGGAATACTGAGAGCATTGCCTCACACTCTTGCATACATGACCAAATTCTTGAACAAAGGAAGCGTCCTGGTCGCAAGGTGTATTCAGTTACCCCACAGTTTTATGAGCCTGGTCGCTTGAAACACCTTCAGCATAAAGGTAGGGCATTACTTCATGTGTCAACGCAATCAAGTTCTCAAGAGGATGCAAAGAGGCCTATTAGGATATATCTAAATTATGATGCTGTTGGCCACTCTTCTGACAGGGATTGTCGAGCACTTGGTGACATTGTCAAAGTGAGCATTCAATATAAATGCAAAAGAAATATTTAGAATGCGTTTTATCTACCCATAACTTTGTATTATATTTCAAGTATTTTATTGAATTAAATCTTCAATTTTATACTAACAGCTTGGGGAGCCTCCCATGACTTCTCCTCCTGGTTTTCCCTCTTGCGATCCCCATGGTAATCCTCCAATATTTGGTGATTGTTGGTATAACTGCACTTCTGAAGATATCTCAGGGGAGGACAAAAAACATCGCCTTCGTAAGGTCATCCGTTTTAAATTAACTTGGTGATGTATCAGTTATGGCAGCTTTTTATGTCTCTTTGAGACGTGTTGTTCTGAGGAACTAGCATAAATGGATAGAGATATTTATCCTTGATGACTAATTTCAGGCCTTAGGTCAGACGGCTGACTGGTTTAGGAGAGCATTGGCAGTTGAACCTGTCAAGGGGAACTTGCGGTTAAGTGGGTATTCTGCATGTGGACAAGATGGGGGTGTGCAGCTTCCGCGTGGATATATTGAGGGTACAATTTATACAATTGCATTTCTTGTAAAACTTAGATGTCAGATTTGCACTTCTGAATTTAATTTATTACCTTTTTGGTTCAACTTTTCCAGAGGGTGTCTCTGATGCCGACCTGGTTCTTTTGGTGACTACAAGACCTACAACTGGAAATACACTTGCCTGGGCAGTGGCATGCGAGCGAGATCAGTGGGGGCGTGCTATAGCTGGTATATTATCCTACAAATATGCTGGTTTCAGTGGTAATTTTTGTCATCTCACATTCGAAATGCTTCAGAACTGATAGTACTCATGTTTTTCTGCAGGACATGTTAATGTTGCGCCCCGCCATTTGACTGCTGAGGCAGAGACTTTACTTTCAGCTACTCTTATACACGAGGTTTGTTGTATATATATGTGTGTGTGTGAGAGAGAGAGGGGGGGGGGGGGGGAGAAGATGCACGAGAAGCAAAATGTGCGGCATTTTTCATATTTGATTTTATTTTCAGGTTATGCATGTTCTTGGTTTTGATCCACATGCCTTTTCTCATTTTAGAGATGAAAGGAAAAGACGGCGTGATCAGGTATAAACTGTTTTTTGTGATCAGGTATAAATTGTGTAAAATTTCTGCTTGTATTGATAGAGACAAAAATGGTAACATTCCAGTGAATGGGGATTCTGTGCAATATCTTTAGGTTGTCCGATAAATAATGAATGAACAGTGTCGAGGTTTTGTATACCTTAATTGAGAAGCATATATGTGACTCTGATTTAATTTTTAGACTTTTTTTTTTCCCAATAGGTATATTGAAAATTTTCGGTTTTATCATTACTTTCATGTCAGGCATTTTAATGATCAATTTTATATTCTCATCAATACTTATCGATTTTTTAAGGTTACGGAACAAGTTATGGATGAAAAGCTTGGACGGATGGTAACACGAGTGGTGCTTCCTCGTGTTGTCATGCATTCTCGATATCATTATGCGGTATTTCCTTGGGAGCATACTTGTCTAGAATACTTTCATTTCCTTGCTTCCGTATATAAGATGTCATTTGTAAAAAGATTCAGCAAATGACTCAAGTGACATGTTGACAGGCGTTCTCAGGAAATTTTTCTGGTTTAGAGCTGGAAGATGGTGGAGGACGTGGCACATCAGGTTTGTATTGTATCCCTTGATTGAGTATTATAATTCAGCTAAATTTAATTAATTTGGTCCTCTTTATGGGTAAGATTAATGAAATATACGACCAGTCCAACATTTGTGAACGATTTGCAGGGTCTCACTGGGAGAAAAGGCTTCTGATGAATGAGATTATGACTGGTTCTGTGGATACAAGATCTGTTGTTTCAAAAATGACATTAGCTCTTCTAGAAGATAGTGGATGGTACAAGGCCAATTATAGTATGGCAGACCGTCTTGAGTGGGGTCGCAACCAAGGTACTGAGTTTGTTACCTCCCCGTGCAATCTTTGGAAGGGAGCCTATCGTTGCAACACGACACAGTTTTCTGGCTGTACATATAACAGGGAGGCAGAGGGATACTGCCCCATCCTAACTTATAGTGGAGACCTCCCACAGTGGGCTCGGTATTTTCCGCAAGCTAATAAGGGTATGTAGAATCATCCCTTCATTTGTAACATGCAGGTCAATGTAAATACATTTAATGTGTTCATGCCTTTCCTAACTTTTAGCCAGATTCTTCGGTATTATTTTGGATTCTCAAGAAATTGTTAAACCTTTTAAGCTATTGCATTCTGATTAATATGCAGTTTCTGCTTTTATTGTTCTGTTTGTTACACAATAGATTTTCTTGCCACTATTCGTTGGTGACTGACTTGTAAATGATTTTGAACTCTAAATATTTGGCTGTTGACTGGTTGTTGCAGGTGGACAATCCTCATTAGCTGATTATTGTACTTATTTTGTTGCTTACTCTGATGGATCATGTACAGACACTAACAGTGCACGAGCACCTGATAGAATGCTAGGTGAAGTCAGAGGAAGTAACTCTAGGTAAGATTTGTGACTTAATACTTTTGCCCCACATCTGCTTTATATATATATATATATATATATATATATATATATATATATATTTTATAACACGCACTTTTGGAGTTGCTGACTATTTTTACCTTTTGGGTGCAGGTGTATGGCTTCATCACTAGTACGGACAGGCTTTGTACGAGGTTCAATGACCCAGGGAAATGGTTGTTATCAGCACAGGTGTATCAACAATTCTTTAGAGGTATGGATTGGAGTCTCAATAGAAGTGAAATGATTCCTCTTCTTATAATGGTTTATTTTTTATGTTTTGACCTGGAACTTTGATACTGCTTCATTGTCCAAACTTTGGTAATAAAAAATGATTATGCATCTCGTTGAGCAATCATGTAATGTTTGAGTAGTGCAGTTTCTTCGTATAGGTTGGGGTAGCAATTGCTACTTTTCTTATAAGGCTGTATGTTAATTGTATGTTCACCCCTCCTCTCCCTTTTCTTTGTTATCAAATTCACTAAATGAAACTCTTTTTATCTTTCCACTTTTGTACAGGTTGCTGTGGATGGTATCTGGAAAGTGTGTCCTCAAGCTGGTGGACCCATTCAGTTCCTTGGCTTTAACGGTTAATATTAATTCTGTTTTTTTGTCTATGTTTAGTTGTTTAAGCAGTGATGTTAATTTTTCATTTATTGCTAAGAAAATTTACTCTTTTTTACATTTTTCAATAGGTGAATTAGTCTGCCCAGCCTACCATGAACTCTGTAACACTGACCCGATAGCTGTGTCTGGTCACTGCCCTAATTCATGTAATTCCAATGGAGATTGTGTTGATGGAAAATGCCGATGCTTTCTTGGATTTCACGGGAATGATTGCAGTAGACGTGAGCTCTCATTTTCACTTTTATTTTTATGTGATAATTTGTCCAATCATTGTGTTTATATATATATATATATATATATATATATATATATATATATATATATATATATATTATCAATATCAATTAACTTGTGCTTCTACACCAAGTTACCTTCAGTTTAGCAGCAGTGTGTGTTTTCTTCTTTTTCTTTTTCTAAAAATGCTTTCTCTTAACTTCCTCCAGGTTCCTGCCCCAGCAAATGCAATGGCAATGGAATGTGCCTTTCCAATGGGATTTGTGAATGTAAACCTGGCTATACCGGCATTGATTGCTCCACTGGTACACACCAATTTTTTAGACTATATATTTGCTGCAAGATTATTTCTTTTTACTAGAGATCTACATGTCTCGGTTTGTGTATTTTGTTGGTTGAGGGTGGGTAACATGATCACTTGCTTATTTTTTAGGGATTAAGTTCTTACCATCCTATCTAAAGAGTATACTACTTGTTTCATATATTGTAAAATGCAATGGTCAATATCACCAATCTCATCCTTGATTAATGAATGCTTTGCTTCCAAACAAACTCAAAAGTAATAAAATGTACTAGGAACGAGCTTTTGAAAAGTGTAACATTGTTTTAAAGCTCAATTACCAATTATTGGTTATATTCTGAGGTTCCTTTGGATAATTAAGCTCAACCCCTTTTATGTAATTGAGGCTTTCAAGCATATGTTTTGTTTGCCAAATATTTTGATCAAATAGAAATAATTAAAACAGATCGAGTCACCGGCAAGGGGGTTGAGTGTAGTGATATGTGATACTGGGAGGATAACTGAAGGTTTGAGCCCTTGAGACATAATTTCTTCGGACAAGCAAAGGTTGATTGAACCAATCGATTCCTGAAAGGATCTCAAGATACCCTAGGAAACCTGGAAAAGGGGAAAACAAGATTCAGTCAATCTTTTCAAACAATTGTTCAAGTGCAGAAAACATGTATTTAGATCTTAAAGAAACATAATTTGGTTATTAACTTGTTCCTCATACATTGTGTAGCTGTGTGTGACGAGCAATGCAGCCTTCATGGTGGGGTTTGTGATAATGGGGTTTGTGAATTTCGCTGTTCTGACTATGCGGGATATACATGCCAGAACAGCTCTATGCTCCTCTCTAGTCTTTCGGTGTGTAAAAATGTGCTGGGAAATGATGTTTCTGGACAGCATTGTGCGCCCAGTGAGCCTAGCATACTTCAACAGCTGGAAGAAGTAGTTGTTATACCCAACTACCATCGATTATTCCCTGGTGGTGCTAGGAAATTATTTAACATATTTGGCAGCACCTACTGTGATGAGACTGCTAAACGTCTTGCCTGCTGGGTATGTCGACTTTTCAAACTAAAATTATTCTTTAGTTTTAATATGATTGTGTTTTTAGCTGTTAAGTTTTTGTTTCACAATCTGATTTCCTGCATTTTCTTTCCTAGTCGATTCATGCATTATTTAAGTTGCCACATGTGAAACTCATTCTGATAAGACCGTATTGTAAGTCGAATTTAAATTGTTTTGTAGATGTTTAGTGAATTTTTTATTTTACCTATGAGCTATTTCTGACTTTCCAAGTTTCAATGTATGCCAATTCAAACACGATTGATGTATCTTTTTAGAACGGTGGGAACTGTGGAACGTGTGACTTTAGTTTTTATTGAATTTTACTAGAGATCTACATTTATGAATCGTGACAATTTCTTTTTCTCAGTTTGCGTATTTTCATTTTAGTTTGTTGGTGGAGGGTGGGTAATAAGATGTACAAGGCATGAATTTTTAAAAAGTCTAACTTTGTGTAAAAGATCAAGTACCAATATTGTTGATATTAAGAGCATATTTGGTATTGGTGCATATTTGTCTGAAGAAGTTGTCTGAATGGTTGGCACTTAATTTCCAGATTTCAATCCAGAAGTGTGACAAAGATGGAGATAACAGGCTTCGGGTATGCCATTCTGCATGTCAGTCTTATAATCTAGCATGTGGAGCTTCGCTTGACTGCTCTGATCAGACCCTTTTCAGCAGTGACGGGGAAGGGGAGGGTCAGTGCACTGGCTCTGGTGAGATGAAATTGTCATGGTTTAATCGTCTACGAAGCACTTTTTCTTTGAGAAATAGATCCTTGAAAGGAATATCTGTAAGATATAGACAGCTTTAACTCTTTTTTCTTCCATCTTTATCTTTTGGGATTTTGGGTTGTAATTTTTTAATCCTTAGAATTAGGGGGTTGCTTACTCATCCAAAAGTATTTAGGCTAAATTGGATGAGGTTGCAGATTTGGCTTTCAAAGAGGAGAGCCTTTTGTAGAGGAAATTGGGAATCTAGAGATAGATAAAGTAGAGAGTAAAGAAGAAAAAGGAGGAAAAAAAACGAAAAGGTAATTAAAATGCTTGTCAGAGGTTGGGGCCGAAGGCCCTAAACGTAAAACGAAAAAAAAAAAACCCCGCATCGTTCATATCTGTATATATATCACTTGTTCTCTTAAAGTCTAACTTTCTTTTACGTTACCATTTATTTTATAGTGTTATGATTTTCCATTTTCGCGTTTTCTTACTACCCACGGTCTATTTATAGTCCTTCAAAATTTTGGTGGATTATGAGAAAGGTATTCATTCACTCACAGTATGAAAATCTAAAAAAATCATATATGGTGATTATGCGCCTGAGTGAAGAAAAGTCTTCTCCAAGGATACTGTAAATGCTGGATGCAACAACTCATTTACATGTCCTTTTCCTTTTGGGTTAATGAGAATCAAGGTAAATTTTTGGAAAGGGTAGAGAACAAGATGTTGGAATGCTTTGCGCAGGTTTAAAATAGAATATTTGGAGGTTACAATGAGAGAGATAACGAATTTAGATCCTCTCCTTAATATTGATAATAGGAGATGTCCTCTGTATCATCATTACATAAAAGAAGTCATACAACTTAGCAACCAAAATTTTGATGGTTAAATTAGATCAATATTTTGATCTTTAATATTTTTGTTTAAAAACAATTAAATTTAGCGACCAACATAATGTTACCGCTGCTAATATTTTTATTTTAACTATCAATATAATATTTTTGTTGCTGTATTTTTATTTTAAATCAATATTTTAGTCATTCAATTATTTAGCTATCAACATTTTTAAGACTACCATTTTTGTTTTAAAGCTTCGTAATAACTAATATTTTGATCACTAGATTATTGGAGACCAATATGTTCATCACTAATATGTTTATTTTAAATAATTAACTATCAATTTTTGAGTGTTGAATTATTAATGGCCAATATTTTTATAAGTAATATTTATTTTAACTCAATTAGCGACCAATATTTTGGTTGTTAAGCTTATTAACAAAATATATTTTTGTCCTTAATATTTTTTCTTATCCAATACTTTCATCGTTAAATTATTTGTAAATAATACTTCCGTTGCTTATATTTTTATTTTAAATTATTTAGTGATTAATATTTAAGTCTTGAATTATTAGCTACCAATATTTCTGTAACTAATATTTTGTTTTAAATAGCATAACAATTAAAATTTGATTATTAAATTATTAGTGACTAATCAATACTTTTGTCTTTTATATTTTTCTTTTAAATAAATTAGTTTTAGCTATCAACACAATATTATCACTTTTTATATTTTTATTTTAAATAATTAATATTTTGTTGTTAATATTTGTTTTTTAAATCAATTAATGACCAATACGTTGGTTGTTATTAGTGATCAAACCAATATTTTGGACACTAATTTTTTTAACTCAATTAGTAAACAATATCTTGGGATGTCAATAACATTTTTATTTTATATAACTTGGTAACCAAAATTTTGATCATTAAATTATTAATGACCAAATGAATATTTTTTAAAATTAATTAAGGATTAATATTTTAGTTGTTAAATTATTATAATTATATTTTTTTCGTTGACATTTTTGTTTAAAATTAATTAAGGATTAATATTTTAGTCGTTAAATTATTATAATTAATAGTTTTTTCGTTGACATTTTGTTTTAATTTACTTATTATCAATATTTTGTTTGTTAATATTTTTGTTACTCATATTTTTACTTTAAATATTAGTGATTAATATTTTGATCATTAAATTTAGTAACCAATATTTTTGTCAGTAATATTTAGGTTTTAATTTATTTAACGATCAACATTTTAGTAATCAAATCAATATTTTTGTCATTAATTATTTTATTTTAAATAACTTTACGATCAAAGTTTTGGTGGCTAAAATATTAGTAACTAAATTTGTATTTTCATCGTTAATATTTTTGTTTTGGTTAGTGATCAATATTTTAATCTCTAATAACTTGGTTATCCATTGAAAATCTTATTTTATAGCACACTTTATGATAGGTTCCAGAGGTAGTTTAAAAGTGTTTGAAAATATATTTTTTTGAACAAAAATTTTGTTACTACGTTAAAATTATATTTGTATACATACAAGTCTTTATTTTTTATTTTCTATTCTTTTTCTCAAAAGCCTTAATATTGGTGATTTAAAAAAATTCATATTAATGAACTTAATAAAATTAAATTTTGCATATATAAGATCACTTATTTATCATTTTTTGTCACGAGTGTAGCGATCTCACCACAATAATAAATGTTCTCCCACATCATTCCATAAATTGGTGAAGCCATAAACTACAAAATATACTTCATATTCACCAAGACGTAGATATATTAGAACGCATAGTGTATGGTGCTATGACTTGGTCAGGTTAGGAAGAGTGGTTGGGACAAAAAGTGATAACGTAATCAGAGGCAGAACAGGTGCAAGTGCTGGAAGCATCATCGTAAGCGTAACTATACGCCATTGGACACGCATTCTTGAACATCTTCGAGTACTCACTTGGGTTGCATGTCTGCGGCGTCGAGTGTTCGCCGGTGCAGCAAAACTCCGCCCTTTTGAACGCCTCGCACGCGCTCTTGCACGCCACCACCCTCCCTCCCTCCACCTTCACCTGCAATTCCTTTGGGCAGTTACGGTTCAAGTCCACAACGCACCCCGCGTACTGGCACTTACCGGTTCCCCCGGTAGCCCTCACCCCCATCGCCACGTTGTAACCGTCCACCAAACTCACGTCGTAGAAGTCCATTCCGCCGCTGCTCGCACTTCCGGTTGTGAACTCCGCCAGCGTCACCGGCGGAACGCCTCCCCCGGTGCATTTCATCCCGCCCGCGCAGTCTCCGGTGACGCATTTTCCTTTTCCGGTGCCGTCGAACTCGCAGCCAGTTCGCCCCCAGAAACGCCCCGACCAGCCCGCCGGAGCCTTGACCTGGACGGATAACCCCGGCAGTAATGGAAATCCACCGTCACCGAGAACGGCAGCGCCATTGCCGGCGAGGGTTCCGGGCCAGACCGTGTGGCTGCAACGGTTTTCGATGGTGAATAATGTGGCCGAAACTACTTTACCTGCAAATTCGTAAAAATAATTTAAGAAACTAAAAAATGATTGTAATAATAATAATAATAATAATAGTAATAATAATATTATAACAAGAGATTCATTGTGATATGAGGTTTTTGTATGTTACCTAATGAAACAAGGAGAAGGAAAAGGAACAGAGAGGTTTGAGTTGAATGCGCCATAACTGTGTGAGTGAATATGTTTGTACGTGGAATTTGGGAGATGAAGTTTAAAAGGTTGCAAGAAGGTTAATATGTTTCACCATATTTATTCTGTATATGTAATAACAATAATAGTTACAATAATTGACTTCAAATTTACTTTTCATAAAAAATAGCTGTGCTTTCAAAATTATATAAAAAGAAAAAAAAAAGACTACCATACGGCATTAACTGTGCAATTAAATAGAGTAATGACCCTTGGAACCCAAATTGAGTTGGATTTAATTTATTGGTTTCCATCGAAATTAGAGGTAAAACAATTATTCAAATGGAATGTACAAGTGTGTTTTACAGTTTTGCCCTTGTTGGCTTCTTACTTTTAAAATTAATATTCCGATTTCAAAATAATTGTTTCTAATAAGAATTTCAATCTAAAACCATCCACACTGTTAATTGATTAGAAATTTCAATTAATAATGTTTAAAGTAATTATTATAAAATTAATAAACTATTATGCGTACCATAATTTATGATTCAATAATTGTGTGTTAATAAACTGATTTGCCTGTTTTGTGAAAATAATAAAACCTTTCACTGAATTATCAATAGTCAAAATGAAACCAACAGATAAACTTTGATTGTCAGAGGAGACAGAGTGTGATATTAAAAAAGACAGAGTGTGAAATTTTAACCCTTTCCTTTTTGCCTTCACATGTCTCTCAACCCCTCTTTTGACCCTCTCACATATATTGGCCTAACATTAACCACCTTCTCAAATATATCCTTTTTTTTATTTATATTTTTATAAGACAATTTATAATTTAGCGAAAGTATAAAATTTATAACATTTTAAATACACAGTACTTAAATTATTTAAGCATTGTTTATAGAAAAATAGTTTTTAAATTTTATTTTTCATATATTCTTTTATTTAATTTTTGTTGATACGATGTTTTAAAAATAAAATATAAATAAAATAAGTATTACTTTAATAAAATATAAGACTTTGTTTAAATCATATGCTACTAAACGTTTATATTAAAACAATTAGAATAGGAGTATTGTTTAATATGACATCAAAAAGCAACGAGTGTAATCTTCCTTTTATCTTATTAAAAACATTAAAAATATATAAACACACTGAAAGTATATCTTTCAATAAGAATAAACATTGACATTCATTTAACATAAAATCAAATATTAAATCGAATATTAATTAATTAATTGTAGCTGATTGGAGTTTTGGTAAGGACTAATGAAAATTATTGACTAACTTAATCAACGGATGAATAATAGCAATGAAGAAACATTTAAATTAATTAAAGTTACTGCATTTGGTCACTTAATTATATCAATTTAAAACTCTTTTTTTTTTTTTTCATTTTTGACTTGTAGACGTGTTTTTGTTAGGTATATATCAAAATACCTATTTTTTTTATTCGTTTGTTGACTTGTAGATACATATCAAAATTAGAAAACATCGCAATAGACTCTTCATGATGTTTTTGGACCTTCCACAGTGAATTCAGTTGACTCTTTATTTACTAAATAAATGAAAAATATAATAACTAAGAAGAAGATATTGAAGAATTCATAGTTTGGAACATTACTGCAGAACGAGCATTCAACGTCGGCTGTAGAAGATTTTCAACGTCGGTTCCAATGATGTCGTTGAATCAGGCGTCGTTGAATGTCAAAGGATTCTACGTCGGTTCATCATACCCGACGTTGAAAGTGGTAGACATCTACGTCGGTTATTGAACTAACCGACGTTGAAGTCGCTCAAGCGACCCGTGTACTCGCTTGAGCGACGAAGCCTTCAAACCAAAGGGACCCTCGGTTGCTGTTTCGCTCAAGCGACCGAGTTTTCGCTCAAGCGACCGACGTCACAACGTCGGTTAATGCAAATACGACGTAGAAATGAGTAAATTCTACGTCGCTTATTGGATAACCGACGTTGAAAGTCCTTTATCGCTCAAGCGACCGGTGTACTCGCTTGAGCGACGAAACCTTCAAACAAAGGGGCGCTCGGTGTCTGTTTCGCTCAAGCGACCGACGTTTCGCTCAAGCGAAAGACGTTTCAACGTCGGTTAATGCAATAACCGACGTAGAATATCCATTTTTTTTTAAATTTTGGTCCGTTTTTGTGCTACCATACACGACCTGCTATATAAATCTCGATCCAGACAGATTTACACAATACATAATATATACACAATACACAATCTCAGCATGATTCACATAATCACTATATATTTACACAATACACTTACAATCTCAGTCCAGACCACATTATGTACATAATACACAAAAATTATCAATCAATCCTATTATTCCTAACTACTTGCACAAACCTTTCTGCCCATTTGTTTCTAACCATGTCTATTGTATCCATAGGCAAATGTTCTATATCTTTAAATGCCTGTAAGAAGTTCACAATAATAGAATGGTAAACCCTAAGCAATAAAAATAAAGGAATTGAATATAATAGCAAATGTCAACTTACCTCGTCCCAACTATCCCGAATGCAACCAAAAATGATGACCCACATCCAATACATTACATAGTAGCCGCACTCGTAGCCTCCATTTTGTTTGTTACACTAAAAATGAGTAAATATATTAAAAATAACTATTAAATTTGAACGTAAATTAATAGATAGTATAATATATATAAAGGCTACTTACTTTCATAAAATTCCAATTTGGAGTCGTGCTTTTACTTGTGTGTTTTCCATCTAATGTACTACAAACCTTTAAAGCACTATATATTGAAAATAAGGGGATTAGAAATAGAATAATCAAGATGTTTAGACATAATATAATAAATACTTACTCGTTTACAATATTTTTTAGCTCCATGTCCGGTTTTCTTCCCAATGAGCAGAACCAACACACAAGATTCTGCTTTGGACAAATAACTAATAGCTGCCAGTGGTTTCTGTATATACACATGATTAGAATCTATTAAAAAAACTTGTGTAAAACCAGAAGAGACTGGGATAACTTATGAATGATGGTATGCTCCAAGGTAAATATCTCTTTTAGAGACAGTCATCCAATTCTGGATGTAACTGATTAAAAAATCACGCTTATTCCTAGACTTTTGTATGGATTGAGGCTCGAAGAATCCATACACGTGACCAATGCCCTGCTCCACTATCATTTCGTGCATCATCCTAAAATATGCCAATTTAAGTGAACTTATAGCTTATATATTTACTAAAATGAAAAGAGTCATGAAAGATATGAACTTACAATGTCCAAAATTGTAAAACAGCTATATTTAGACATTGATTGCCCATCCCAATCTCCAGGGCATCGAGTGTGGGAAATGTAGAGGGGGATATTGCTAGAAGCCATCCCAAATAATGTACAATCCCATGGAACTTGGAATGACTGCATATATAATTGTGGGGAAAGAGACAAGAGATCAAAAATGGGATTTGGAGAAGTCTCCACAACTCGGTGTCTTCTCCTTAGATGCGAAGGAGTGGCAATAGCTTTACCCAAGTCTTTTGGCTGCCGAACATCCTACATATTTTATAAAATATAATCATAAACAATAAATCAATTTATTTATGTGTTAGATGTATTATAACCATACATATACATACATTTGCCATGATTGACCTAACTAAATGTCGGGGCCAACTAATGAAGGTCTGAAGGGTTTGGCCCACTGTCTGCACCTCTTCAGTGGGGATAGGGACACTAGCCGCAGCGTCAACCACCTTTTCAACCACTACTTTGACCAAGTTAGGATCCAAAGGCACATTGTGGATGGTTGAAGCCCCTTCATGAACTGATCCATGGGCCACTAGCCTTAGACCTTCATCTACCTCAACCCACAAGCCATATCGATCATCCTTTGTGGATTCAGGATGAATAGATGTCACCTCAGGTGTGACCTCGATAGTGGCTTCAGCACAACTGCCCTTTGTGCTAACTCTTGGACCTACAAATACAGTAAATTCCAATAAGGACTAAAATTTTAGAAACACAAGTCAAGTACCAATCCAATTTGTGGTTGAAAATGCACCCGATGGAGGATGAGCATCGGGAAATGAAGTACCCATGGAGGACATACGCAGCAACTCGCTCCCGCACACGTGCGGTGATCGTCTCCTCAAGTCGTGCGGCCGATGGCAGGAGTCAACTCTTCCTCCAATTTTGCCCCGATGGTCGGTGTCAATTTCTCCGTGAGAGCCATCTCCAAGGCAATAATATCTTCTTGGCTCGGGGATGTGGAGGTGCGGATATCCTGTGATGGTGGTCCAAAATAATGTCGGACACCCACACCTTGGCCAACAGCTCGAACACGACCTGGATGTTCTGGTCGTCCAATAGCAGTGGTCAAGATATCCTGACGACCAGAAGGGATGAAAGTTCCCTGTGTACACTGCTCCTCCAAGGCATCCTACATTATAAAAGTTAATTTTATTAATGAACATGTTACATATAACTAATTCAAAGTAAATTAACTTCTTTTACTTACAATCCGAAGCAGCAATTTCTCGGGCTTCAGGCGACGTCATGTCACCGGAAGGCTTTGTACGCGCCCTCTTCCACTTCTGGTGACGTTTTGGAGGAGATGGTGGAGGAATCGCTCTTCGCTTAAACCAGAAGAGGCTAACTCCGACTGTCGAAGTCTACTCTTCTCCTCCATCATCTTCTCGAGTCAATAAGTCGTACCCCCACGAGACAGAAGGTGGGGGCGACATTCTTCCTCCGAATGTCTTTTGCTTTTTGTCTTCTTTCCTGCAACATAATTGAACACAATATTAGATACACAACTCATTATGAAATATTCAAGTCAATTAAGCCATAAGCTATTACCTCCCACTCTGAACCAGGTCCTACTATGTACAAACTTCTTCCAAGTGTCCTCATCTATGCCATATCTTTGGCAAGGGGTTAATCCCTTGCTAACTTTGTCCTCAGCATACACCCATTTAGTGGTCAATGTGGACTTGAACTGTCTCCACATTTTTGCTATGGTCTGTCATTATCTTCCTCCTC